CCCTTTTCCATTTCTTTTTGTGTATACAGTATTTCCTTATGAAAGCAACTACTTTCCACTTCAGTCCTATCAAAACTATGACTATTTCCAGGTGCATGCACTATCACCTCACCTTTACAGTTTTCAGCTTTAATCCAAAAATATGTATTTATAAAATTTCTTTGTATGATGTAAGAAATATTCTAAGCCCTTCCAAAGGCAACCCAAGGACCAAAAACTCTGCCCAATTTACTTAAAAGATAAAGAGGAAGACCTGCACAGCACGTGTATACACGCACGTGTTCATGTGTGGGTGCGTACATGTATATTTTTTGTTTCCCAAAGACAAAGATGATGTAATCTAAAGCCAAACATCAACTAACTTCATTTCTGGTTATAGAAAAGGGAGATCTTCTAAATTCCTGTCTTCACTATTTTTCGCTAACTCATCCATCACATAGCTGAATCTCATCTTACAAATATTGGCTTAAGAATTCACTTCCTGGGGGAGGACATAGCTCAAGTGGTAGAGCACATGCTAGTATGCAACAAGGTCCTGAGTTCAATCTCCAGTACCCCCCCTAAAAATAAATAAATAAACCTAGTTACCGCACCTGCTAAACAAAAATTTTTTTAAATAATTCATTACCTCTGCAATGTTTCTGAAGGATTCCTGTAATTAGAAGCTAATTAGCACAACCAAAGGAGGGGAGGAGTCCAGACCAAACAGCACAACAAAGTTAGCAACTGTGCCTTGGAACTACGGTTTCCAGTTTGCTTTCAAACTGAGTGTGTTTAATACATACAGAACTTCTAATGATGAATTACATGATATGTGAATTTTATCTCAACAAAGCTGGTATATATGCACACAAAATGGATTTCTATTTGGCGTAATCCCAGATATCAAAAACAATCATTTCCCCTAACCATAAGCTCTTCGTTAAACTGCAAATAGGGAGTGCTGCCCACCCCTCGCATGGAATATACACAGGAGGGCAGAAAACGAGGGTGAACTGAACAGTCTGCTCTCTATGCTTCACAGCATATAAAACTCCAGACCTTCCAGAACATGAAAAACACAAATTTAAAGTGATGCAAGGGGGAAACTTACAACCAAGAATACTCCATCCAACAAGGCTCTCATTCAGACTTGATGGAGAAATCAAAAGCTTCACAGATAAACAAAAGCTAAAAGATTTCAGCACCACCAAACCAGCATTACAACTAATGTTAAAGGAGCTTCTCTAGTCATCAAACCATAAGAAAAAAGAAGAAAAAGAAGAAAAAGAAAAAAAAATCTACGAAAGATTGCTTTGGCTGTTCAGGGTCTTTTGTGGTTCCTTACAAATTTTGGAATCGTTTGTTCTAGCTAGTTCTGTGAGGAGTGTCACTGAGTATTTTGATGGGGGTTGCATTGGATCTGTGGATTGCTTTGGGTAGTGTGGCCATTCTGATAGTGTTGATTCTTCCAGTTCAAGAGCACAAGAAATCTTTCCATTTCTTTGTGTCATTTCGGTCTTCAGAGTATAGGCAACCTCCTTGGTTAAGCTAACGTCTAGGTATTTTGTTGTTTTTGATGTAATGGAAATGTCTCTGCCAATTATAAAATTCTGGTTTTTGAAGTGAAAAAAAAAATGAATGAAGGGCCACAAATGGCAAAAATAACCTTTTTTATAGGTGAGTTGTATTTCATTACATAAATATACATGTGCTGCATCGCATTGTTTATTTCAGCTG